TTAGTTAAAGTCATAATTTCCATGAAGCATGTAATTAATGAAAATTAACTAGCATTAAAAACCAAAAAGTCACCGAATCCAAGAGGAGTCAAAATGCTTTCACTATCATGTTGGAGAAAATATTTTTATGATTGTGTGAAAGAAAAACAATCACAAGAACCATTTGTTGCTTGTTAATTTGAAGATCTATTACGTAATCAAGAAATTAACCAACTAATTAAACATTCACATATCTAAACTCATGATTAAAGACATATGAACATAAATAGATGTTTACTAGAAAATATTTTCATAGAATATCATCAAAACCACACAAAACCATTCCTAATCAATTAATTGCTCCATAGAGTCACCCAATATTGAAAATAAAAACTAAGTAGACAAAATAATAATAAGAATAAAATGATAGAAATTATACCAATACCGATTACGAAATGAAAATGACAAAAGCTCATTGAAATCGTCATTTCTTGTGCTCTAAAAACTCCATCCATAATCCAAGTATTAATACAAAAATTAACCTAATCTAATTTCAAAGATAAATCATTACAATAATAATATCATGAAAAATATATTAAAGTTCCAAAAAAAATGAAGAAGCAAAAGAAAAGAGACACCAAGAGGTGCCGTCCCTTCTTTTTCTTTCCTGCCGTGAAAATTTGAAAATGGAGATGCCCTACTGCTGCTTTTCTTTCTGCATTCAATTCCAGCACAAGACAAATGGGCTAATAAATTGGGCTGCTAAGTATTAAGTAATGGGCTGCTATATGGGCTGATAAATTATGCACTATTGAGCTTTTCGATGCTGGCAGCTTTGTGTCCTGATGTTCACAAGGCCAAAAACTATATCAAAACTAGTCCGAATCCATTTCTTTTTGGTGAGGTCGAAGATTGATGAGTTATGAAGACTTCTGTAAATTTTCAGCTCAATCGGACATCGTTTGACCCTCAGTCTGATCGCTTGAAGAAAGCCGCGCAAAGCTGTCAAAATCCGAAAATTTAATTTATATCGCTTTGTTTTTCTTTTCGCTTCCGGATTTTGCTACGAGACTTCAATCGTGGTTGCAAGGAATTCGATATGGCTTTAACGATGCTCCAAAATACCATCTTGCTCGAACAAATCTACACAAAAAAAAACTTAAGCGTGTAAAAATATTCAAAACAATAAATCTAACGATTCAATGCAAAAAGAATATTAAAAATGCAAAAAGTAAAAGAAAACGATTGCTAAAATATATACAAATTATCGAGCTATCATTAGTCAAAACCATGACTTTTTTTACTTCGTGATCATTTTGGTCATGTTTCTATGTGATTTTAGTCCCTCTGAAAGTTGAAATTACTGTAATACCCTTATATATTTATATTTATTTTTCTTTTATTCTTTATCTATTTAAATAATTAAAAAATAATAAAAACTCCACCTATCTCTCTCTCACACACACACGAACAACCCTTCTTGCCTTCGCTCATTTCAAGAACACCTCCATTATCCCCACTCAAGAACTCACCACCTGCAACTCTCGATCGAATTCCTCCATTGACAAAGTTATCCACTCTTTCCATGTCCGCATTCTTCTCACCTCGTCAAATTCCACAGTATCTTTCACAACTTGTTTCACCTTCACTCTTTCCATGAACTTCATTTGGATTCTCTAAGTACATCATTTTCTTCTATCTGCATCTTCTTTTTCCTCTACCTATTAATCTGGCGACCTCCTTATCAGAGATACATCTTCAGGTAGAACGGTCTGACGACCTTCTTATCACCGCCGACCTTAGCAGTCTCGACATCCAATTTGGGGGTTTTATGCACAATCAAGAACGAACATGGTTGCGGGTACAAAACTTTCTCCGGCTTATACAATGTTATAAGGTGGATTCAACAAAGATACCGTTTCTATTCGAGAAGACGAGATTTCACAGAATTCAGATTGATTGAAGTGAGAAAAAAGAAGCAGTGATGCTATTGGTTATCATTTGGGGTAGCGATAACGGTGACGGTTGATTTTTTGCCGACCTCCTTTCATCCACACCGATGTTCAGACCTGTATTCCCTCCAAATGAGTTTTGTTGATGTTAGCATTCTTATCAATGAAGATTGGTAAGTCTTGATTTTATCCCCATTGCAAAACAATATGATACCCTTTGTAAGGAATCACCATGAGCGTTAGCGAAGTACCAAATCTGGGACAGAATCAAGTCAACGGGTAATATCTTTATATAAACTGCTCGTACTTATATCGATCATCATCAGAAAATCTCCATTGTCAAGATGAGTCTTCATTATAGATATGATTGATGTTGAAGAAGCTGACGACAATAAAATTGGAACTCTTTTATGGAATCCGTAGAAGCAGGGGACATTTCTATTCGTGTGGGTGAGTGAGATAGAGAGGTGAGGTTTTTATATTTTTTTAATTATTTAAATAGATAAAGAATGAAAGAAAAATAAAAAATTAATACATAAGGGTATTACAGTAATTTCAATTTTCAGAATGACTAAAAGCACATAGAAACATAGCCAAAAGAACCACGAAACCAAAAAAGTCAAGTTTAAACTAGGGTTTAGGTTATTTTTAGTCACTGAACTTTTCTGAATGTTTTATTTTGGTCATTATACTTTGTTTAAGCTATCATTGGTCATTGAACTTGTTTATTTTATTCATTTTGGTCACTATAACCAGGAATAGAATGTGTGTAATATCAAACGATGTGGTCAAGATTGTAATTAGTCATTGGACTTTTATGGGTGTTTTATTTTAGTCATTATATTTTGTTTAAGCTATTATTGGTCACTGAATTTGTTTTGTTTTGTTTTTCATTTTAGTCACTCTATTTTTTTATTATCATTTATAAAAAATTAAAAAAAAACTACTATTTTTTTTTCTTTTCTCCACAACTAAACTTGTTACATCAATTATTTAGAGTAAATTATATGAATAATCCTTGTGACTTAAGGTAGGGTGCATATTTAGTCTTTAACCTTTTTTACTCTAACACTCCTAATAACTTAAAAAAAAACTATTTTGCAATTATCAATCCTATCACTCTTGTCAATGGTAGAAACACACCAAATCATCATCAATAACTAGTTTTACGTTGGGTGACCCCGTGGAAAATCTCCGTATCGGGTGACACAAAGCAGAAAATATTTTGGTATATATGAATTAATTGAAAACACTAACAAGTCTACTTCTTTTTCTAGAAGCCCGAATTAGAAGACTCGATCATCCTTCAATGCACAAAGACTATGTTTTGTATGAAACAATTGAAAACATTAAACATGCATCCTCATGATCACAATCATTATTCATATAATTTACTCTAAAATAATTGATATAACAAGTTTAGTTGTTGAGAAATAGAAAAAGAAATTATAGTTTTTTTAATTTTTATAATTGATAATAAAAAATAAAGCGACTAAAATGAAAAAAATAAAAAAGTTTAGTAACCAATGGTAGCTTAAATAAAGTATAATGACTAAAATAAATCAGCAATAAAAGTTCAATGACTATTATAACATTGACAATGTTATACACCGATTATCACCGGTTAGAATGACCAAAATGATAAAAAAATAAACAAGTTCAAGTTTTATTGGAGACATAGGTGAATTTAGGAGTAATATAGGAGGAGTAGGTTAGATTTGCCGTTAAAAAAAACAAATAACTTAAATGCTTTAACTAGACCTCATGAAAAATACATACTAAACATTTTTGGAGTTTTGTTTGACATAAATGTTTTGCTAGCAGTTTTGTCTAACATAAATGTTTTGCTCCACCTTGTTTACCTTGTTTATCTGATTTCTTTTTACACCCTCTCTTTTACACGTTCATCTTTATCTTTCTTCATCGCCTTTTTTATGCGAAATATTTACAGAGCGCCTATGGATCTGCCACGGCTTCCCTTTTCTCCAGGGCGCATCTTTTCTGAGGCCAGGAGGGCTCCCCTGAATTTTGGGTTAGAAGTAGACTACGTAATCTTAATTTAGGCCCAGCAATGTGAATCTTGGGCTGTGGCCCCTCCTGTTCTGTTTGCCAAGGAGTCTGGTCCATGAGAGATAGAGAAGCAATCGTTCCATCGTTCAATCGACTTCCGCCCCATCCTCGATTTCTCGCTGGTCACTAATCGCTAAATCGGAAACTTCCGGCTCCCGCCTGTGGCCTGCCATTCACCACCGTCACCTGCTGCTGCTGTTGAGCTGTTCTGCACAGCTGCACTTCTGCTGTTCTTTCTTCTTCACAGAACAGAAGTGAAGAAAATCACTTAATCAGGTATGCTCCCTCCTGTAGTCCTGTTCGACTGTAGCCTGTTGCCATGTTCTGTCTTCTCTCTTTTCTAATTTCTATTGTTGTACTTGTTTAGTTGTTGGATATTTGGAATTGGAAAGTTGGAATTGTTCATTCAAGAGCCTGTTTTGTGACTTTTGTCTAGAATAAACTGATATGAATATTTCATCTATATTTGATTGTTGTTGGAATTTTAGGAATCAACTAATTACACATTGTTAAATGTTCTCTTCTTGGTTCAACTAATTAGTGATGAGTGATGAGCAGTGCTTATTTGATTCTGTTAGTCTAAAATGTTATATAAGTTGAAAGGCTGAATGGCTAATTATGAATGAATTGTTCTTCGATTTTGATGAATTTAAAGACCTTAAAGTTCGTCGGGCTGAGTTGCAATTCTTCTTCTAAGTATTTTTGGGTTTTAATTGTTGAAAATTTTTGGTTTTTTATGTGTAAAAACGGTAATTTTAGGTATTTTGGTGTTTAATTGCTGAAAAAAAAATTGTTTTCTTATATGTGTAAAACGTTAATTTTAGTTTATAATACTTTTGGCCCCAAATTATATGTTCAAGCTCTCCATGTTTAAGGTTTTAAGAAACAAGAAACAAATTCCCAATTTCCCCTCTTCATCATGGTGCTCTAACCCGTTTCGGGTGCTTCTTTATCGAAACCTTATCACTGAGAAGCCGTCTCTTTGTTTAACTCTTTTCAACTCTGCACTATCGTAAACCCTTATCATTGAAAAACCATACAAGTTACAGGGCAACTCTCTTTTCGATTTCCTTTCACGTCAACTTCCATAGTCAACTTCCATAAACGTTTATCACTGAAAATTCATCAGGTAACTTTCGTTTACAGTATTTATCAGTGTTTCTTCTGACTTCATCTTCAATCAATTTGTGAATTTCGTTAATAGATTCTTTTAAGGATTCAAAATTTTCAAGTGTAGAGGCTCTGAGTCTGTCTTTTGTTGTTTTCCAAATGACAGCACTCAACTTTTCGTCGACTCATAATATCATCTTCAATTCCATCGTTGATCGCCTTTTGTATTATGTGATTAATTACAATATAACCATTTCTTTTTGGGGGAAGAACAGGGTTTTAGAGGAACAAAATTGGCAATCTGCTTCTGAACTGCCCCTAATATCTGCACAGGTAAAAAAAATTAGTTTCATGATTTTTTTGTTTTTAGATACATGGCTTTCATATGGTGCCCTAATTCTTATATTTATATACCTATATGCAAACGTTGCCTCATGGAACAAACCATTTTTCTCTGTAATTTGTAGTTTGGCACTGATTTATTTTTCTCAATCAAATATCGAAATGATTAATCAATTGGCAACTAGACTTGGTGACTGACTATTCATTAAACATTACAATTTACAAGTGAATTCTTGATTAACAAAAACATTTGATTAACATTTGACATTGTTATAATTAGATAGACTTTTTCAACACTGGTTGTAATAGGAAGGAATGAAAGTAGAATCTTATAATTAACAAACAAATGAAAGCATGGTGTTATATCTTGTATGTAAGTTTGTAACACCTTTAAATAATCGAAAAACAGATTTTGATTTATATAGCAACATACTATCGTTTAATAATTACTCGATCACATTACTATTCTTATTCTCATTGCTATTTGGTAGAGCCAACCACCTATGAAATGCTTCTAAGGTATTTCTTAGTCGATAAAAATCTATCCATGAGTGAATACACTTCATAATCATAAGGCTTTTGCCTTACTTTTGAAAGCTATTTACTAATTTACGCCTTCTTTGATCAATGATTATGGAATCCTTCAAGTGTTGATTTGATTGATAATTTTGAAATTACTAAACTAAAGAGAAAGAAGAAAATAAAAGTCGCTTATTTTACGATTTATATACATGGTCCATGTATATTATTAAGCAACTAAGGTCATGATTATAAAGGGACTATAAATAATGAAAACAAAGGCAACTTTATAGAAAATTTATAATAAATGAAAACCTTTCTCAGGTTATTTGACACTACTGTAGTTATAAATGGTAACATATGAGTGTATAGCGTATGTTGGCTGCTTCAGTTTTTGAACAACTTTGTAAATATATAATGATTGCTTACCGTATCTATAAAACCATTTTGCAAAACACCTGTTGCATCACACGGGGTGCAAAACCTAGCTCAATTACATTAAGCAATCCAACATATATTTCGTATTTACAATGCAAGGGAAACTGAAAAGACCTTAAATAATTAATCAAGTTTGATGTACTAATTTATGGATCAGTTGGTTTTTTTTTTTTTCAATTATTTATACCTAAAAGTTCGTTTTTTTTTTTAAAAAAAAGACCCAAATATTTCAAAACACTACGGGTTTTCCGGCAAATGGCTTATTTTCGGCTGACGCCATTGGCCTACCCAAGAATGTGATTTGAGATGCAAATAAGGTAGCTTCTGATTAAATAAAATTAAAAAAATTAATATTATACATTAAAAATAAATTAATAATTTAATAAAATAATATTTATTATATAAAAAATAATAAATTAAAAGTAATAATCAAGAAATTAAATAAAAAATTTAATAATCAAATAATATAATATTTATTAATATATAAACATTATATATTAAAAATAATATTTATTAATATATAATAATCAAATAAAAAAAATAATTCAATAAATTAAAAAAAAAGAATTGCAGAAATGGTTTGAGTTTGGTAAAAAGAGATAATAAACCAAAACCATAACTACACCAACAAATAAATAACTTTTTTATAGTAAACTTTTTTTTTTTTTTTTGTTTATGACCTTCCAAAGAAATCGGCAAAACACATGGACCAAAATTTTACGAGTAAATTAATCTCGAGATATTCATATTTTCAGGCAAACTGCCGCCTCCGGAGGGCGATAAGCGAAGAATGTCCATTAATCAAGACGACTACTCAACGGCGGAAACCCTAATTATCTTCGACCGGCCTATACCTCTCATCCGACGACCCATACTAGCCGGAGCCGGAACAGACGATTCCATCGTCCTCGGTTTTAAAGACCCTCAATCTTGGACATCCGCATACAAATCGTGTGAGTCCAATATCATACAACAATGCGAGGCCGGTGTTCGGATCGGTTGTTCCGTGAGCGCGTCCAGCAAGTGCGCCCCACCATGGTGGAAATCTATGATCGGCGGTGGTGTATCCAAAGAAGAATTAATCGAGAGAGAAAAGTGCGAAGAACGAGAAATGGCGGAATGTTTCGAAACTTCGAGAATGAATTGTCGTAAATTTGCAGAAGATAAGTGTTTGCCGGCGTTTAGAGATGCTCGAATTGTGGTAAAAGCCGACAGTGGTGATGAAAAAGTGAAGAAGTGTGTGTCGGAGTTGATTGGTAGGGTTTGTTTGGGGGAAAATCAAAAGAGGGTTGGTGGTGTTGAGTTGTGGACATTGAAAGGTTCTTGGACAGAAATCAAATCTAGAATTGGATTTACGATTCTTAGAGGAAGTGATCTGCTTGAGAAGCAGCTCTGAAGAGAAAAATCGGCCATGATTCAGATTTGGGAGCAGAATTTGCAAAGGATCCATCCAAATCCAAGAGACCTTATACAATGGTAATTTTTGTTTATACTAGTTGTTAATTAGTTAGGATCAATAGTTGTAATAAAGCCTTGAAAATTTTCTAGATAAATATGCTTACATGTTCCAATACACACCTTGTGCTTTCTTTGTGTTTAAAATCTTGATGGCGTTGTGTTTGCCATGGTTTATGATATGATAGGATTACTTTTTCTTTAAAACAACTGGAAACAATAAAGGAAACAAACAATAAAAAGTCTTGTGCTAGTTTGTCTAAGTATAAGTCTTGACTTTTGTCACTAGTTTAATAGGTCTTCATTAACATTACCTGTCATCTTATCTTGACATATAATGGGATATTTTCATCCAAGTAACAAGTTTTATGACAATGAGCATGTTTAGTTGTTTGAATTGCATCTAGTCAGACAAGTCTTCTTCACTAAAGTAATAGATTTGTTTCGGAGATTGTATAATTTACACTCCAAATTTCTCATTATTCATTTTTTATTTATAGAGTGTGAAATAGGTTTGGGTTGGAGAATTTTATACTCTGTAAATAGAATGTAACGACAAAAATAAGACAAAAATAAGATGAGGGTTGGAGATGCTCTAACGTAATAACAACCACCGAGGTGTAAAATACTAATACTATACAACAAAGAAACAACTCCAAAATTGTAAACAGAGAAACTCAAATTAATCCAATGAAAAAAATATATTAAGATTTGATTTCCTATGAGAGACCATTTCTAAAATAAAGAATACATTAAGATTTGATTTGAACTACGAATAACTAAATTTTGACATTGTATCCTCTTGAATAAAATTAAAGCAAATAAGTTCAAGTATATTCACGTAAAGATAAATTCCACTTGTGCTCGTGCATCATATGGGTAGCGATTCCATTGAAGCTGGAAACAGTCATCATCATGCTATTAGTGATTATTAATGATCATCCTCCTTGGATCCCATTACAAAGAAGAGTAACTAAAAAGATAGGACATGGACATGCTCTTGATTTCTCGTCTGGTTATGCAAATGACAGAAATATATCTCATTCTCCTCGTTGAAAATAGTCTGTGCAAAAAGGCATTTGGAAGAAATTTCCATTTTGTGGGGTTTTACATTTTTTGGGTCATAAATTACAAATTGTGATTGAAGTGGAGAGATGAAGACTTTGAGTATGTCTATTATATTGCAGCAAGTTAAGAAATCATCTAGCAACCTTAGGGTGCGTTTAGTTGCGGAAAAATGGGTCGTTTTCCGGAAAAAATTTCCAAGAAAAATGAGAATTTTAAAAACGCGTTTAGTTCGTCTATTTTTCTAAATTTTTCATGGAAAATGAAAATTTTCCGTTTTCTAAAATTAC